TATATTTGTTTGTTTCTGGTGAGTGGTGCAGACTAGTGCTTCATTAAAGTTCACTGTGTTGAATCCTAAAGGACGGATATGGACAATGGTGGCTGGAGGTGGTGCAAGTGTAATATACGCAGATACCGTAAGGCCAGTTTAATTTTATTATTAAGTGTTGTGTTGTGTTGTCTCTGGACTGGATAAAATGATGTTTCAAAAATAAGATGGCTCAGTTAGGGAAATGGAACTGTAAAAAGTTAGGACATAGTTTTTTGTGACTTTTTCTATTAAGTCGCTTTTCTAAATGAAACAGACATTCATATATATATATATATATATATATATATATATATATATATATATATATATATATATGAAGTGAAAAATTAGAGTATTTTGTTTGTAGGTTGGAGATTTAGGTTATGCATCAGAACTTGGTAACTATGCTGAGTACAGTGGAGCTCCTAACGAAGAAGAGGTGTTGCAATATGCTAGGGTTGTGATTGATGTACGTACCAATACCATACCAGGATCCTAATTTTTTATTAAATAAATATCATCAAATGAAATTAATACTGAAATGTTTCCTTTTTCAGTGTGCTACTGCAGATCCTGATGGTCGTAAAAGAGCCCTTCTGATTGGAGGAGGCATTGCTAACTTTACAGATGTTGCTGCTACTTTCAATGGAATTATCCGAGCCCTCAGAGAAAAGGTAGGCAGATTAAAATATAAAACAAGTCTTAGTTTTATTTTAACATCAAACATCAAACATCAAACATCAAACATCAAACATGTTTTCATAATTTCCAGGAGTCCAAACTGAAAGCCGCAAGAATGAACATCTTTGTTCGAAGAGGTGGTCCTAATTATCAGACTGGTTTGGCAAAGATGCGTGCATTGGGAGAGGAACTCGGAATTCCCCTTGAGGTATGTATGTCTACCTTATACATACATCAATTTCAGTAATCACCTTACCAGTTTTTACCTACTTACATAATCAAACATATTCATTGTTTTCTAATTGTTGGAATTTGTAGGTTTATGGACCCGAGGCTACAATGACGGGCATTTGCAAGGAAGCAATTGATTGCATAATGTCATAATACATTAAAATACCCCCAACCCCCAAGGACTGTGTTTTTCTACTCCTTGATAACGTTACAACAACACTTCATTCTTCTTCTTGTCAAATTTTCTTGTATTCTTACTATCAGTGCGCGCTTGTCTTTCTTATTTTAATTCTAATCAATAAACAAAATATTATATACTGCTCAAACAAATCCAACAACCACTGTTTCTCCTTCAACATATTTCGGATCCATATTTAGTCTTCTTTTTGTCAACCAAATGCATAATAAATTCATTGATTATGCCCAAAGATGACCTCGTCATCTGCTTCCTCAAAATCCTACCTCCACACCATCAAAGTATAAATTATCTTTATTTTGATAAGGTACATACATAAACAAAACCCTTTGTGCATTACATTATATAGAATGTTTTTTTGGACAAATTGGGGCTTTAGTTATCGAGATCGGATTTGTCATCAAGGATCCAATATGAATAGATATGCATGCACTCATTTCAAGGGAAGACATGTATCCGGGGAAATGGTTGTCAATCATAATCGTTTCCATATGTTTTTAATTTATGGAAAAAGAAATAAAATTAATAAAAGACAAAACTTCAAAAATGGTCCCTGTGGTTTTCGAAAATATCAAGTTTAGTCCTTAAGTTCAAAAAACCTCACGGATCGTCCCTGTGGTTTCAAAACTTTTAACATTTGGTCCTTCCGGCTAACTCCGTTACCATTTAGCCGTTAAGTCAGGGGCATTTTTGTCATTTCACTACACAGGGACCATTTATGAGGTTTTCTATTACTTTTTTTTAAAATAAAGAAATAAATAAATAAATTTAATATCCAAGGGGTCCCACACTTCTCTCTCTCTCTCTCTCTCTCTCTCTCTCTCTCTCCATGTGCACCGATCCTCCTCAACCTCATTCTCTTCATCTTCTTCATGGCTTTCCCCTATTATCTTTGTCTCTCTGTCATCACCCTTCCCTACCCATGAATGATCTCTATTACTGCCACGTGTCTCTGATG